CTTGCCGTGCCGTGCTTGCCGTGCCGTGCCGTGCTTGGCTTCCAGGATGCGAAAGAGGTACGGTCGCTGGCTGTGCCGCACCGTGCGTGCCGTGCCGTGCCGTGCCTGGTTTCCGGAAGGCGAACAAGTTGGTGCGCCGCTCGGTGCCGGCGAGGTGTCTCATCATGCGCCGTTGGTGTTCAGGGCCTTCATGCCGGTGTAACTTCGGCTCAGGTCACGCGCCACGCGCTGCAGCCGCACGTTTTTCGGCGTTTTTTTGTTTCTTTGCAGGCGCGGGCGCCATGAGCCCATGATCGGCAGCCTCAGAGGCGCCCTCAATGCGCGCCTTGTGCCGTTGGCTGCGTCCATCCTGACCTTCATCGCCGTCGGACGCGCCTCGGCGGCACAGGCGCCGCGGCCTGACGCTGCTCCCGACCCCTACGTCAGCTATGATAAATACGTTATGCTGTCGATCCAGGCCTGCGGGCGCGGAGAGGGGCAGCTGCTGCGCGAGGAGCTGGAGGGCGCAGGGTGCACGCTGCTTGACGAGGAGCGGCTCGAGAGGGACTGCTCCCAGAGCAGGGCAGTCTGCCCCAGGCTCCAAGCCTTCAAGCACGGAGCAGCAGTGGGAGTGCTGAGCTACGACGCTGGGGCTCTCATGCGACACGCCGGGCTTCCTCGGCGCTGGAATCGCTTGTCGAGCAGCGATGGCTTCTACTCTGCCTACCGCGACCACGACGACATTCTGGACCGGCTGGAGGCCATCTCGGAGGAGTGCCAGCTGAGACAACGGCAGCTGCTCCGCCGGGCCAACCCGCTCCAGATCGGTCCCCGGACCTTCCCCGCGCTCATCCCAACCCGTGGTCCCAGACCCCCGACGTCATGTTTTTTTCGTTACGTCGACCCCTGGAGGTCTCGACCCATTCCCCTGGACCTGTTTTTCATCCTGAGTCGTTTTTTGACGGTTCCGAGGCCCGTCGAGGGCCCCCCCCGAGGCCGAATATAGCGAAACACTTCCCTTCTGATTTTTCCATTGCCCGAGGGGGTCTGGGTTCCCCGCGCTCGTCCCAACCCGTGCTTCGAGGCGGATCCGGCCGTGGCGGCGAGAAGCCTCCAGGAGGCCCGAGGAGGACAAGGCATCGGCAGGCAGGGCCGCCGTGGTCTCTACCGACCCTCCTCCGACCATCGCTGCCGGCGCGCCCGGCGTCGCCACGCTGGAGCGGCTCCGCCCGGCCACCCCCGAGGGCCGGCACATCCGCGCGGTGCGCCTCCGCGATGCCGAGTGGACGGCGGGCGCGCCTCGGATCGTCGTGAACTGTCTGCTGCACGCCCGGGAGTGGATGAGCGCGATGGTGGGCACGTTCCTGGCGGAGCTCAGAGAGGAGGAGGAGGAGGAGGAGGAGCAGGAGGAGGAGGAGGAGCAGGAGGAGGAGCAGGAGGAGGCACAGCTACAGACCCTGAGATCCTGGCGTGGCATCTGTTCCTCGGCGGGCGTCTTCGCCAGGCTTCGTGCCCTGGGGCCCTCAGTGATCGATGCGTGGCACCAGACACGCCGCAGACAGATGGGGTCTAATTACAGCCGGTCCTGGGCATAAGATCGAGGTCGGTTCGGGGAGGGTACCCTAGAGTTCTCCGTGTCTGTTGACTGTTCTGGTGCATCCTTGGAAGGCTACCCTTGGATGGTCTGTGTGCTTTGGTCGACGGAGGGTCTCGTTTTCTAGATGGATGCTCTTCTGGCCTAGGTCCGACTCTAGGGCTTCGGTCGTGATCTCTTGCGCTGTTGCATCTTGTTCGCGACGTCAGAACTCAGGAAGTTTTGGGAGGCCTGGGCGGATTTTTCTTCTACCGGCGCCAGGCCACCCCTTGCCAGCGGCGCCTCCCGCGCCGCCTACACGGCGCGCTCTGGAGGGGGGCCCAGCGCATACCCGAGAGATCCGTGCGGATTCCCCCCCCAAGCAATTCGAACAAACAAAGACAGCACAAAGCAGAAAACAAAAAGCATGTGCATGTTGATGGAGATGTTTCTCTCTTCTAGGAACGCTGCGTCGCCAAGAAAGCAGCTGAACCTGGCTGGCTGGCTGGCATGGAGCTCATCATCGTGCCGGTCTCAAACCCCGACGGGTTCGTGCATTCGACGACCGTGGACGCGTTGTGGCGGAAGAGTAGGAATATTCTGTCTGGGTCGGCTTGTAAGGGCGTTGATCTCAATCGCAATTGGGGTACGGATTGGAATGGAGGCGAGAAAACGAGCACTAGCGAATGTTCGGATGTCTATGTTGGCCCCTCAGCACATTCGGAACCCGAGGTGCAAGCGATGAAGGCTCTGCTGGATGATGCCCCGCTTCACATCCACCTAGATGTTCACTCCTACTCTCAGATGATTGTGGGGCCGTGGGGCCACACGAATGCCGACCACCCAGACAAGGCAACGATCGACTCCATCGGGCTGGAAATCCAGAGTGCCATCGCGAGCGTCAGCGGCAACACCTACCGCTACGGCACGGGCGACGCAGGCGGCGCCATCTACCTCGCCTCAGGCGTCATGCAGGACTACTCCACCCAGCTGGGCGCGTACGGGTACACGATCGAGCTGCCGCCAAACTCGTGGGAGGCTGGTGGCTTCTTCCCGCTCGCCTCGACCATCACTCCGACGGGCGAGGAGCTCTTCGCGGCCGTCGGCGCCGTCGTGGCGCGGCTCGGGCAGACGCCGACGCCGCTGCCCACGCCGATGCCACCCCCGACGCCGGCTCCGCCCCCGACGCTCGCGACCGTCATGGTGGTGCAGGGCGTTGACTACGATCTGCTCGTGGCGAGCCCGACCCTCGCGGGCTCGTTCGGGCGCGCGTGCGCCGAGGCGGTCGCCACGATGGCAGGTCAGGGCATCGCGGCTGGCGACGTGCAGGCGCTGGCGGACGAAGAGCGGTACAGTCGAGCATATGGCTAAGAGACCTCCTCCCGAACATCTTCGGAGGTTGATAGACCTCCTACCCTGACACGTCGATTAGTGGGTTGGCCGTTTTCGGTTCGCGAGAGGGCGTCGCGGCCGTCATTTTTGCGGGCCCAGGTCCGTCGGTTTCGGTCCTAGGCCGTTTTCACTAAACGGAGGTTTACTAAGGGGAGGTGTGTCCTCCGCCGACAGCTTGGCCAGCGTTTCTTCTGCGACTCGCCGGGAGGTCGGCCCAGCTGCTAGAGCACGCTCGCCCCTCCGGCGTCATCAGCAGGACTTGCCCAGGTTTGTCTCAAGAGGCCTTCAGGAGGCAGGCCCAGATCTACGAGACGATCATGTCCTGGATCTTATTTTCGGACGTGTGAGATCATGTTTTCAGCCGTCGTGTGCCCGCCCCTGGGCGGCCGGCATGCCGACGCCCTCACGGAGGCGCGCCCGTGTACACATAATTTCCAGCCGCCCTGGGGCAGGCGCCCATGGCGGCGCGGAAAGGTGCGTCTTGTACGGTAGGTTCACGCGGCGTTGGCGCGCCGGCGACGCCAGCGGCGGCGTTCGAGGTTGAACTCTGCGACACGCGATGTCAAAACCCTTTACGCGCGCCGACGCCACACGAACTTACCGCACCATTCTTTGTCCGCCTGAGGTGACAATGCACGGGGGCTCCGTGATCGTGTCGGCCCTCGTCACGGTGCCAGACGGCGTCCTCCTAAGCACCGTCGCCGAAAGCCTGGGCTCCTTTGACGCCCTCGCCGACGCGGTGGTGCAGCGGTTAGGGACAGTTCCGGGCATCGCGGGTGCCCAGACGGGCGTGATCGGAGTCATTGAGGCACCCGTGAGCACCGCTCTGCCAGACCAATCGGACGAAGCGGAGTTCCTGCCTTGGGGGTCACTTGCGCTGGCTTTTTTTGCGGGAGTCTTCTGCGTTGGGGCGGTGTGCGGAGGAGTGGTCGCTTGTATGGCGAGGAGAAGGACCAGGGGTGCCGCGATTGCGGACTTCATCCAGGTCACGCCAAGCCACCCTTCCCCTGCCACCCCTCCGCCCCGGCCAGAACTCTGGGCGCAGGGCATCGTGCCTCGGCTCAGCCTCCTGCCCGGGTTGCCCTTCCTGGTGACCCGGCTGAGCTCTGGCCAGAGCTCCTCCGCGGCCCTGAGCCTCAGGGGGGAGGCCAGGAGGGCCAGCGCCCCCGTGCACGAGCGCGACGCGGCCGCGCCGGAGAAGGCCGCGCCGTTGCCGCAGGTCTGCGCTGTCGGAGACCTGCACCAGTGGAGGTCCATGTCAACGGAGGTCACTCCCGTGGAGACCTTCGAGGTTGCCGTCGTCATCGTCATCGTCGTCGTCGTCGGCGGCGTCGGCGCCGTCGTCGGCGTCGTCGTCGTCGTCGACGTCGACGGGTCCGCGGTCGTCGTCGCCGTCGCCGTCGCCGTCGCCGTCGCCGTCGCCGTGACCGTCGCCGCCGCCGCCGCCGTGGTCTCGGTCGTGGTCGTGGTCGTGGTCGTGGTCGTGGTCGTGGTCGTGGTCGTGGTCGTGGTCGTGGTCGTGGTCGTGGTCGTGGTCGTGGTCGCCGCCGTCGCCTTCGCCGTCGTCGTCGTCGTCGTCGTCGTCGTCGTCGTCGTCGTCGTCGTCGTCCGTCGTCGTCTTCGTCGTGGTTCTCGTCGACGGGGCCGTGGTCGCCGTCGCCGTGACCGTCGCCGTTGCCGTCGCCGCCACCGTCGTCGTCGCACTCGCTGTGACCGTTGCCGTCGCCGCCGCCGCCGTCGTCGTCGTCGTCGTCGTCGTCGTCGTCGTCGTCGTCGTCGTCGTCGTCGTCGTCGTGGTCGTCGTTGTCGCCGTCGTCGTCGTCGTCGTCGTCGTCGTCGTCGTCGTCGTCGTCGTCGTCGTCGTTGAGGCCTCGCCTAAGAACGCCGGGGACTTCACGCCGCGGCAGAAGCTCCCCAAGCACGCCGAGCGAGGTTCTGGGGCGTGACCACTTACACAGACGTGAGCTTGGGACGCCCATGGACGGTATGTCTCCTCTGGGGCCAGTGCTGGCGGAATCCGCCCATCCGCTAATGTCCGACGTTTTCGTGTGGTTTTATGGGCCCCCGAGGTGTGCCCCGGTGCGCGCACGAGCAGGCGTGGGCCAACTCCATCTCCACGCGCAGCGAGGGCCTCCCCGCAGACAGGCGTCGATCCCTCTCCTGCTCATTGCCCTTCCGCCTTCCTCCGCTGGCGCCCTGCATTTGCCGTGACCTCGCTCTCCAGCCCGAGTAGGTCCAGGGGGCGCGTCCCTTGCCCGAGTCCGCTGTCAAGCTCCCGTCTGCCTCCCCGTGTGGGCCGCCAGGCTCATGGCTCGAGGTCGCTCGCGGGTGCGCCAAGCTGACCAGACCTGACCTTTCGGGGCCTGGGCCACTGAGCGATCTTTCCTGTGGGCTCCGCGCGGCGGGCGAGGTGAGCAGCCGGGCGGCCCAGAGAGGGTAAGCACGGGGGCCGAGATTCTGAGCCTGGCGACCCTCGGGGCTCTCACTTCCCTGGACCTCCGGCGTCGTGATCTCTGCCGCGGCGTGGGCCCCCCAGAGCTCTCGGCCCCAGTCTCTCGCTGCCGGTCGCCCACGGATGGCCCCGCGGCCTGGGAGCAGCCCCTGGAGGCCGAGACGGTGATCAGAACGCCCGTTGTGACAGTGATCTGTTCGCGCGGGTGCCAGCCGTGTCGCCAGGAGGCTCAGAGAAGAGTACGCTCGGGGCGGATCCACTCGTGGTGGCGAAGAGGTGCCCCAGGAGGCCGACAGAGGAACCTGGCCCATGCCAGCGAACACGGTGGGTGGCCGTCGCCCTTGGTGCTGGGTTCCAGTCAGGCCGTTGGCCGTCGGGCAGGCCTTCAGAAGGGCCCCCAGACGTCCTCCGATATGTTTTTTTCAGCCTGCGGCCCCAGAGCTCCCGACTGCTTCCCTGGATCCATTCTAAGGTTCTGGAGGAGCCCAGGGTGGATCCTATGGAGCCTCAGAGTGACTCTGATTCAGTGGTTGCAGCGATCTTCTAGAGGCTCAGGATGGATCCTATAGAATCTCAGAGTGAACTTGATGGAGAGCGACAATTCCCTGGCCCCGTGGCCCGACAAGTGGGACCCCAGGAGGCGGAAAAGCCGAAGAGACGCGCCTGGATTTTGCCAAACCCATGCCGCCGGAGAGCTGGGCCAACGGGCCGGCCGCCCGTCGCTCCGCACAGCCCTGGCCCCTGGCCAGGCCGCCGGCCTCGCCGTGACCCGAGATCATCACCCACCAAACCACCCCAACCCAAACCCACGCCGAAGGCCTCAATCTGCCGTCCATTTCCAGTGGGGGGGGGTCGGGGAGCGCTGAAAAATCGGCATGGAACACGTACCCCCCCCAACCCGAAATTCGGGTCAAATTCCGGTCTTCGGGTTGGGTTGGGGTGGTCTGGTAGGTAGTCATGAGAGCCCGCTCCAGGGGGCGGCGGCAGTCTGGTGGCGTCGTCGTCGTCGCCGCCTGGCGCCGTCGCTGCTGCCGTCGCCGCCGGTGCCGCCGCCGTCGTCGGCGTCGGCGTCGGCGTCGGCGTCGTCGGCGTCGTCGTCGTCGTCGTCGTCGTCGTCGGCGTCGTCGTCGTCGTCGTCCTCGTATTCGTCGTCGTACATGGCGTCGTCGTCGTCGTTGTCGCCGGCGGCGGCGGCGACGGCGGCGTCGGCGGCGTCGGCGTCGGCTTCGTCGCCGTCGGCGGCGGCGTTGGCGGCGTCGGCGTCGTCGTCATCGTCGTCGTCGTCGCCGGCGTGGTCGGCGGAGGCGGAGTCGGCGTCGGCGTCGGCGTCGGCCTCGTCGTCGGCGTCGGCGTCTTCGTCCTCGTCATCGACGTCGTCGTCGTCGTCGTCGGCGTCGTCGGCGATGGCGGCGGTGTCGGCGTCGGCGTCGGCGTCAGCGTCGGCGTCGGTCGGCGTCGGCGTCGGTCGGCGTCAGCGTCGGCGTCGGCGTCGGCGTCGTTGTCGTCGTCGTCGTCGTCGTCGTCGTCGTCGTCGTCGTCGATGGCGTCGTCGTCGTCGGCGCGACGGCGTCGTCGTCATCGTCGTCGTCGTCGTCGTCGTGTCGTCGGCGGCGGCGTCGGTGTCGACGTCGGCGTCATTATCGTCGTCGCGTCGTCGTCGTCGTCGTCGCCTGCAGCGGCGGCGGCGTCGGCGTCGGCGGCGTCGGCTTCGTCGCCGTCGGCGGCGGCGGCGGCGTCGGCGTTGTCGTCATCGTCGTCGTCGTCGTCGTCGTCGTCGTCGTCGTCGTCGTCGTCAGCGTCGTCGGCGGCGGCGGCGTCGGCGTCGGCGTCGGCGTCAGCCTCGTCGTCGGCGTCGGCGTCGTCGTCCTCGTCGTCGTCGTCGTCGTCGTCGTCGTCGTCGGTGTCGTCGTCGGCGGCGGCGGCGGCGGCGTCGGCTTCGTCGCCGTCGGCGGCGGCGGCGGCGTCGGCGTCGTCGTCATCGTCGTCGTCGTCGTCGTCGTCGTCGGCGGCGGCGTCGTCGTCGGTGGCGGCTGCGTCGGCGTCGGCGTCGGCGTCAGCCTCGTCGTCGGCGTCGGCGTTCTCGTCAACGTCGTTGTCGGCGGCGGCGGCGGCGTCGGCGTCGGCGTCGGCGTCAGCGTCGGCGTCGGCGGCGTCGTCGTCGGTGTCGGCGGCGGCGGCGTCGGCGTCGTCGTCATCGTCGTCGTCGTCGTCGTCGTCTTCGGTCGGCGTCGTCGGCGGCGGCGGCGTCGGCGGCGGCGCCAGCGTCGTCGGCGTCGTCGTCGTCGTCGTCGCTGGCGGCGACGGCGGCGGCGGCGTCGGCGGCGTCGGCTTCGTCGCCGTCGGCGGCGTCGGTGGCGTCGGCGTCGTTATCGTCGTCATCGTTGGCGTCGTCGGCGGCGGCGGCGTCGGCGTCGGCGTCGGCGTCAGCCTCGTCGTCGGCGTCGGCGTCGTCGTCCTCTTCATCGTCGTCGTCGTCGGCTTTGTCGGCGGCGTCGGCGTTGTCGTCGTCGGCGTCGGCGTCAGCTTCGGCGTCGGCGTCGGCGTCAGCGTCGGCGTCAGCGTCGGCGTCGGCCTCGGCGTCGTCGTCGTCGGCCATGGCGTCGTCGTCGTCGGCGTCGGCGTCGGCGCCAGCCTCGTCGTCGGCGTCGTGGTCGTTGTCGTCGCCGGCGGCGACGGCGTCGGCGGCGGTGTCGGCGTCTGCTTCGTCGGCGTCGGCGGCGGCAGCGTCGGCGTCGTCGTCCTCGTCGTCGTCGTCGTCGTCGTCTGCGTCGTCGGCGGCGGCGGCGTCGGCGTCGGCGTCGGCGTCAGCCTCGTCGTCGGCGTCGGCGTCGGCGTCTTCGTCGGCGTCGGCGGCGACGGCGGCGGCGGCGGCGTCGGCGTCGACGTCGACGTCGGCGTCAGCGTCGGCGTTGGCGTCGGTGTCAGCGTCGTCGTCGGCGTCGGCGTCGGCGTCGTCGTCGTCGTTGTCGGCGATGGCGTCGTCGTCGTCGGCGGCGACGGCGGCGGCGGCGTCGGTGGCGTCGGCTTCGTTGTCGGCCTCGTCGTCGTGGTCGGCGTCGTCGGCGGCGGCGTCGGCGTCGGCGTCGGCGTCAGCCTCGTCGTCGGCGTCGGCGTCGGCGTCGGCGTCGGCGTCGGCGTCGGCGGCGTCGGCGTCGGCGTCGGCGTCGTCGTCGGCGTCGTCGTCGTCGTCGTCGTCGTCGTCGTCGTCGGCAGCATCGTGAAAATTCAGGCCGGATTTTTTTATAGACCCTATCTGCAGCGGCATTCTCCGGGCCGCATCGGAGCCCGTGAGGGCCCCAGGGTACCAACAAAATCTGCAACGCCTGGACCTCGGCCTGAGACTGCAGCACGCGGCCTGGGTCGACCCTGCATCAGAGATTCAAAGGAGGAACATGTACCCATGATACAGCTACCTTGGTTTCTCCTTCTTGGGCCTCCTGGGAGGCCCTCGTCGTCAATTCTGGATTCGCATCAAAATCATGGTTATAAGGCACCCTGGGAGAGGTTCGGGAAGTAGCAGTATCAGCACCTCGTGGTTTCGCCAGAGATCTCGATGTCTTGATTTCTTCAACTGTGTGTCTCTGGAGGTATCGACCCACTCCCAGGGACCGGCTTTTTATTTTTCAGTCGAGCATTTGGTGAAGAAACCTCTTCCCGAACAGCTGGGCCTGCGTGTCTTAACCAACTTGCGGGAAAGCTGTCCCAGTTTCTCAAGCAAGTTCGCCCCTCCATCGTTGGCCCGAACACTTGGCCCAGGCTCGTCTCAAGAAACTTCCTGAAAGTTGGCCCAGATTTCTTAAATGATGACGTTCTTGATCAGATTTCAGGCTGTAGACGTCGTTTGACGGTCCTGGGTCCTGGCGAGAGCCTCCAGAGGCCGAGAGCGGCGGAAGAACGCCGTCTTCTTTTTTCAACCCGTTGGATCTCTGGGGCCGCCAGGCCTCCGCAGCTGCTTGCGGCTGCCCACCTCGGGGCTTCTCAGGAACCCTGGCGCATTCTGACAGGTGCTCCACGCCTTCCCCGAAGACAGAGACGGCTTCTCAGACGCCCAGCGGGGCTTCTGAGAGGCCCGGCCACCTGCCGAGAAGGCCTGCCCCCCTCTCTGTCTCCCTGCGGCTGGCCGCCGATTCTGGTGACCCCGCCGCCAGGCCTCCGCAGCCGCTGCGGCTGCCCATCTCGCGGCGCTCCTGGTCGCCCGACAGGCCCCGGGTCCATCGCGCCGCGGCGCCCGCGGGCGCAGCGCGGCCCCCGCTGAGCGCCGCGCTGCCGCAGGGGGCGCGGCTGCCCATCGGCAGGCGCCGCCGTGGCGGCGGCAGCGACGGCGACGAGCCGCGGCCGCGTCGGCGGCCGCGTTGACGACGGTGATCGCGACGGCGGTCGCGGCGGCGATCGCGGTGTCCGCGGCGACGGCGGCGGCGGCGGCGGGCGGCGACGGGCGACGAGGGGCGGCGGCGGAGAGGCGCTCCTGGCGACAGGGTGGGCCCTCCTGCGGCGGCGCAGGGGCGGACCTGTGACCCGGCGCCAGCTGGCCACCACCGCTCAGAACCTGCTCAACTTTTACGTGCTGACATCGCGGCGGAGCCTGACCCATGTCGCTCTCCGCCGGCGCTGCCCGGCGATTCTTGTGACCGGCGGTCAACCGAGGAGGAGGAGGAGGAGGAGGAGGAGGAGGAGGAGGAGGAGGAGGAGGAGGAGGAGGAGGAATAGGAGTTGGAGGAGGAGGAGGAGGAGGAGGAGGAGGACGGCTGTGGGCGCACACGCGACGTCCCTCGCACTGCGGCGCGAGGTCACAAGCGAGGGGTGCGCGGCGGGCTTGCGCACATCCGCTCACTTTTTGAGGCCTTGGGCGTTCGCTCCTCTCTTCGGCCAGGCTTTCGCAGCTCGGGCTGCGCCCAGTTCGCTTTTTGTTCCCGTTCAGGCCAGGAAGGAAGACGGAGAGGCACCGCCGACATCACTCACGAGGGTGAGTACGGTTAAGTCGGGCCTGTCCCTCTACAGGAGGAATTATGAAAAATTGAAAAAATAGGCGGGGGACTTTCTGGACTATTTTTTAGCATTTTGGAATATTTTTGGGGTAATTTTATTTTTTCGCCCAAAATCCCCGTGGGGGGACACGCACGAGCTAAGAGCAAGGCTTCGTCACGGGAGGTTCGCGCTGCGCCGCCGGCGTCGCTCACGAGGGTGATCTAGGGATCCTTCACTGGAGATGCGCGCCCCGTCGACGCGGCGGCTGTCCGAGCGCGGGCGTGGAGGTTGAGCGCCGCCCTTGGCACGGAATCGGTTGCTCAAGGCGGAAAGATCCACGCGGTGCCAGGAGCCAACGCCGACGACAGCATGCCACGAGCCTGCCGTAGGCGCTCTTGCATTCTTCGTCGGGCGCCCTTGCGCCCTCCTCCCCTTCCCCTCCCCCTCTCCTGCGGTGCCCCCCTGCGAGGGACAAGAGCACCTGCACACGCCCCCGTCGCTGAAGCCAGCTGCGCTATTGTATATCATCGTGTCGACCACGTCCTCTTTTCAAGGTTCGCTAGATCGTTCAGGCGTATCTTTAATACGTGTCTGGCTTTCTGGTGTCAGGCACTCGTATTTTCAAGCGCGATGTGCCCGAACCACCGAGCCACCGCTTGCTGAGCTGTTCCCTTCGTGCGACGGAGCCGGACTCGGGGAGGTCCAGAGCCGCGCTGCTCGATGCGGCGTGGGCTGCAACTGCACGCTGTGTTTGTATACGCCTTACCGGGAGGGCGAGGATCAGGACGGGGTGGAGGAGCCCCGCGAGAACCACGCATGGTACCGCTCTGCTGTTCATCAGCAACATGCGCAGGAAGCCCAGAGCGTGTTTCTTCACTGCTTTGTAGGCTGTCGTGAGTGTGGCAAGTGCTGCGGCTGGCAATGGTGTTGCAAAGGGCCTCCACTTGGGCAGGCAGGCAGCTATGAGGTAGGCCAGAGCTGGTCGGCCAGAAATGCAGCAGGCATTCAGGCATTGTGCTTTTATGTAGAAGGGCTTGGTGGTCGGCACGGCGAGAACATGGAGTGAGCTTTGATATTTCCAGCCCTGGACGTTTTCCTTGCGAGCAGCCTGATCCCATCTAGTCCCTTCGGACAAGTGTGCGGGAAGTGCCACTGACTAATTCTGCGACGGTTGCTGTAAAACCAGAGGCGGTATCATCAGGTACGGGTACGCGTGCAACCTTGCACCGATGCCAGAAAGGAGAACACATGGTCAGATGATAGTTTATATTTCACTTCCCCGCAGACGCGGATAGGGTTGAGGAATTGCCTTAGTTATGACCACATCAAACCAAGACAGAAACCTGCCTCAGGCATCATGCTGTCCCCATGAAAGAGCACAATGACACCGAAGACGCCTACGGCGAAACACCGCCGCCCACTGCCATTTGCAAACGCCCTTCCGGCCAACGTTTGGGCCAAAGTCTGGCCAAGCCATTGGACTATTTGTTTGTCCAGTCGTTGTGGAACCCCTTGGAGGGAACATCTTGGAGGGAAAGCGACAGGATGTTGAGAAAAAGGGGAAGAGGACGAGGAGCAGGAGGAAGAGGAGGAGGAGAACCATGGCAAACCCAAGGCGCATCAATGATGTTGCAGGAACCCTCCCTCCAAGTTCCCAGTTCACAGGTCCCCACAAGGTTTTGTTTTCATTGCAGGAGGTTGCCCATCTTATAACAACCGCCTGATACTCTATGCCAGTTCCTGGGGCTAGAACACCGCGGATCCACATGACTGCTGCGACCTGGGAATCGTAAGCCGTGTCAGAACATTGTTCGCGGGATTTCAATACCGTGAATCAGCATGAATGTTGCGTTTTGGCCTTCCTAAACCTGACTAGAACACGATTCGTGGGACTTCGGCCATTGGAGTTCTTGAAAGTATTGCAAACTTTTGAGACACATGTGCGTGGCGCTAGCGCGAGAGGCACATATGGAAAGGAAGTGCCCACAATCTTTGAAACAGATGCGAACGTGTGTGACGAAGGGCGCGGCGCTAGGGCGAGACCTACATTCTGAAGACGACCTGCTCTCCATCCGTCAAATTGTTGCAAACGTTTGAGACGAATGTGCGCGTCGCTGAGGCGAGAGCCACATTTTGAAAAGGAATCGCCCTTCGCCCGTGAAGGTATTGTCAACTACTGAGACGAATGCGCGCGGCGCTAATGCGAGATCCACATTTTATGCGCTAGCCTCCCCTCGCCCGTGAAGCTGCTGCAAATGTCATGCTTCAGGATCAGACATGGCTAGGGAGTCTCAGGCGAAACGGCCGGTCCGCCTTGCCGACACGTTCCGGGGTGCGACAGGGAGGAGTTATGTATGAGGAACAAGGATGAGCGAGGAGGAGGAGGATGAGGAGGAGGATGAGGACGAAGAGGAGCTTCCAGGTGGCTGGCTTCCTTGGAGCTTCTTGGCGGTCTCTACGGGGCGTCTTGGGGGCCTCTGGTGGCTTCTTGGGTCCCTCCAGGGACTTATTGGGGCCTCTTGGGCTTTTTCAAGGGGCCCCTAGGCCTTTGGAGGCCATCTTTGTGGCCTCTGTGGGCAGTCGTTCGTCCCTCTTTGGGCACTTTGGGGCTGTACTGGAGGTCTGTGCGGCCGTCTTGGGGCCTCTTGGGCCGTCTTGGGGTCCTCTTGGGCCGTCTTGCTGGCCTCTTGTGGTCTTCAGGGGCCGTCTTGGAACTATCTTTGGGGCCTCTGGGGGCGTCTTGGAGCGTCGGACAGGCGAGAACGTTAACATCATTGCCGAAAGGACACGGGACAGAGATTTCTTCCTCCTGGAGGTCCTTGTAGCCCGGGGGCCGAAGTGCCTTGGGGTGCTTGAGATTTGCACCGAGGGGGCCGAAGTATCTCGGGAAGGGGGGAAGCCCGACCTCAGCCCCTGGGACGTGCCGAACTCGGGCTGGTGCGTCCCGCCGCAGATTTGAGGGAGTTCGAGCGAAATGCCGACGTTTGCCCGTGCGCGGAGTCCCCGCGCCGGGCCGCCCGCGGGGGGAGTCATTTAGCTACGCTCCCCTCGCGTGCCCTTCCGCTGCCGCAGCCGCTTCCTGCTACATAGGTTGGACCCGGCAGCGACGGTATTGACACTGTTGTTAATCATAGCTATTGTTGCTTACGGGGAAGTTGGAACCATATATGCGGGCCAGACCCGGTTGCGTTGCATGCTCTGGGCTAGCGGTTGCATTTTTCTCGTCGGGCTGCGTCGAATTTGACGAGGGGTAGCGGAGACCCTCTGTGTAACCACCCGCTTGTGTTTCACTTCAGCGGCCCCGCGTGCGCCCGCCAAAGCCTTGCAACCATCTTTTGTGCTCCCATCCGCTTGTGTTTCCTCGTTTGGCCTCGGTGGGCCGCCCAAAGGGCTTGCGCCGACGGCGTTTTCTTGCGCGACGGTGGCCAGGCCTTCATTTTTTGTATGCAGTGGCTCGCGCGGAGGGGTCGCGCGGTACATTGCGATGTTTTTGTTGTTTGCCCAACGCGCTGCGTTTTCAGATTTGTGTCGCGCGGTTGCCCTCCGTGGCTGCCCCAGAGTCTATGTGTTGTTGGTACTAGGCGCGCCTCTGTGTTTGATCTTGCAGGAACTGCGACGGTCCCGCGCGGATGATCCAAAAACGTGTTTTTGTTTGTTCGCGTGACAGAAGATTGCGTCTGCCAATTAGGCCTTGCACGGAGGCCCCGCTAGGCCGCGCCAAATTCGCAAAGTAGTTTTCCGTTTTTTTTTTTTTTTTTTTTTTTTTTTTTTTTTTTTTTTTTTTTTTTTTTTTTTTTTTTTTTTTTTTTTTTTTTTTTTTTTTTTTTTTTTGTGTTGTTTTTATATATTATATATATATATATAAATACTCTTGTTATATATATATATTACATCAAAAAAGAACATATTTTACATGTTGATATATGTATATATAAATACATGTATATATATATATATATATATTCTTCTCGCAGTGATAATAACCATTTATTATATATATATATAGTCGGCCATGCAGCGGCCCCAGGTGGCGACCACAACCATTTGGTCATATCTTCGCGGGGGCCGATCGCGCCCGCGCGCGCGGACGCGCGCGTGGCGAATCTAGCATTGTCCCATACTGGAGAGGTCGCCGTATTGGTCTGGAAATTAAGGTGAACAAATAACGCTGACCAGCGGGATCTCGGGTGACCCGCCCGCGCGTGGGTCGCCCGATCGCGCGCGCGCGGACGCGCGCGTGGCGAGTTTTGTAGTGTTTACAATGGAAAAATCGCCATGCTGGCCTGGAAACCGGGGTGAACCTTCAACAGTGACCACCGGGATCTCGGGTGACCCGCCCGCGCGTGGGTCACCCGATCGCGCGCGTGCGCGCGGACGCGCGCGCTGCGAATTTTACATTGTCCAGAGGGGGAGATGTTGGTCTGGAAACGAACGTGAACCCTTAACGGTGATCAGCGGGATCCCGGGCGACCCGCCCGCGCGTGGGTCGCCCGATCGCGCGCGTGCGAGCGCGGACGCGCGCGTGGCGAATTTTGCATTGTCCACAATG